CTTTTGGCAAGAATGCAGACTTTTGCCAGTACATGGGATTCAATCGTGATTTCATGTTTAATGTTTTATATATTATTATTAGTAGAAAGCGTGAAAGAGTGTGAGAGAAATGCATAACGTTGCCCTTGAAAAGGGCTTAAAGTAATGAAACATGCCACTTTCTTTACAAAAGTGCCTAATTTATGACAAACCAACTTTATTTTGTTTGATGATAGCACTTGGTCCAAGAATGCAAATAGAAAGAAGTATAAGAAATTCAGTATGCCAAAATTAGATGATTCGTCAAGGAAGGAAATGAATGAATTGAGTGGCTCGAAATAAAGTAACGTAAGAAATTTCAGATTCAAATTCTCTCGTTTATACTTAAAAAAAAAAAAGAGGACTTATTAATATTCATAGGTTAAAATTCGATAAGATTAGAAAGTAATTACCAACAAAATTCAATAATGATGAGATCAGATTACAACTCAATAACATCATAAACTAACCACAAATTGTGAAACAGACACTAACATATAAGTTAGACCAAATGCATATATATGTTTTGGGCAATCATTTGTGCTAATATAAAGAGAAGTTAAAATAAAAAGAAAGTACGGACAAATAAAAAAATGAAGGAAAGCTAAAACCTTTTTTTTTTTTGTTTACAAAAGAAAAAAAAAAACTTGTTATTTGGTACATCTATGGTTTTGAAGAAAAAAATGAAAATCCGAAAAAGTGGTTTCTACGGTGAGGGAGCCTACGCTGTGAAGAAAGAGAGACAACATTCGAACGACGTCGTCTGAAGTGGTGCTCTATATCATTTCCCTCCAAATTGAAATTGGTGGGGAACCGAGAAGGGTTTTAGACAACCTTACCCGAGGGTTTTTGGCTAGTTTCTCAGATCAAGAATATTACTGGAGAGAAGCTCTGTGAAGCAAATCTTTGCTCAGATTCAAGGAACAGAAAAATGGCATCCTCTTCTTCTTCTTTAACTTCTAGTTCGGGCCCAGATATTCCATGGGTGGAGAAGTACAGGCCCACTAAAGTAGCTGACATCGTCGGAAACGAAGACGCGGTAGTCAGGCTCCAAGTCATCGCCCGCGATGGCAACATGCCCAACCTCATCTTGGCCGTAAGCGATAATCCCTCCCTTCGGCCCCCTACTAATTTTTTGTGTTCTGTTTAGGAATTTATCTCTTTTTTCCCTCAATACCTGCTAAGAATGCTAAAAGTCGCTGCATTTACGTTTTTATTACTTCTTTTGTTTCATATTTCATATGGGTTTTTTTTTTTGGAACTCAAATTGGTGAAAATTACTGAGCTAGTTCGTGGGTTGTAGCCCACCAAAGATCATTTTTTTGTTAGTTCTTTTGAAGGGGAGGGTCAGGGGTGCGAGGGGAGAGTGAAATTGAGACCCTTAACAATTGGGTTCCAGTTGATTCGACGCAGAGTTTAGTAGAGAGTGCTACAAGGAAAATCAAGGCTATGGAAAGGAGGGAAAATATGAATAAAGTGGGGATTTGTAGAATTTATCTTCCAAAGCTTTTGGCTTTGAACACAATGCTTGGTAATGCCTCTTGCTACATTATATCTTTCAGCATAATTCGTTTATGACCAGACTTCTAGGAATGAGTAAGAAAGTTTTATAAACGCATGAATATCCGTCAGGCTGTTCTTTTTACCTGTTATTTTGGAGGCGTGAAATCAATTTGAGAGTCTGCATATTGCAAACCTGGTTTAAAGCTGTAAATTTCTCTTGTCACAATGGGACAAATCGTATTGCTTCACATTACTGAACGGTGTGTGCCTTAGAATTGTATTCTCACTGCATAAACTGACTTGTTTAAGGTGTTAAAAGATGAATACTGTTTAACTGTTCAACTTAGTACATAGTTGTGGTGCAGAGTTTTAAGGAAAATCAAGCTCTTCAATAGATGGAATATAGGAGAATTTCCTTTTTGTTTAAATTGCTTGAAAAGGAATAAACGGTGATCAAAGCCTGTAAATACTTGCTAATGACTTCTACATGCCTGCTGTAAATGTCCATTGCACTGCTTAAGGGGTATGGATGCACTCACTTGAATCTGAAAATATCATCAGCAAATACGAAGAGCAGGCATTAGTTGCTTCATCGTCTATTTTGTCGAGTTTTATAACACTACAATTAATTGGGAGATTATGTAATAGTAAATTCCTTAGTTCCACAAAAATTTCCTAGCAATTTAGGATTTCTTGAAAAGATAACCCTTTTTTGACCTAAACATGTTTGGAGAATATTAATCACTTGAACATCTTGGGATACATATAAACTGCATTTTTCTTTATCTTTGCTTTTGGTCATTATTTCAAAATACAAAGGAGACTTGGTACTGAGCCTTCTGGAATGCATTTTGTTTAGGGTCCACCTGGAACGGGTAAGACCACTAGTGTTTTAGCTCTTGCACATGAACTTTTAGGACCAAACTACAAGGAGGCGGTTTTAGAGTTAAATGCATCAGATGACAGGTATGTCAAACACTTATAAAATGATTTTTGATCACTTCTTGTATTATGTTAACCCTTCCTCTTCTTCAGGGGTATTGATGTTGTTAGAAACAAAATCAAAATGTTTGCACAGAAAAAAGTCACTCTATCTGCGGGCCGTCATAAGATAATAATATTGGATGAAGCAGACAGGTTAGTTTTTCCTTTTTTTTTTGGTGTTCTTGGCCTATTGATATTCCCCTCGTTTAACGATTTTATTCCTCTTCTATCTTTACAAGTTCATTCAATAGTCTATAGGTTTAGCAGTCATACTATCCTCTGTGTTCAATTGGTTGAGAGATTGTATTGCTTTATTGAAAAATTAGCATGACATCTGGAGCTCAGCAAGCTTTGAGAAGGATAATGGAAATATATTCAAACTCCACACGCTTTGCTCTTGCTTGCAACACATCATCAAAAGTTATTGAACCAATTCAGAGTAGGTGTGCCATTGTCCGCTTTTCTCGATTAACTGATCAAGAGATTCTTAGTCGTCTCATGGTAGTGGTTGCAGCAGAAAAGGTACATTCAGTATGAATGCCTGGTACAGATTAGAACACATTTCCTGTTGTGTAATTTAATGCATTGTTTGTACTTTGTCATATTGTGCATCTTATGTTGCCGTGATAAGTTCCACTGTAAATTATGCTCTTTACTTTGTAAAGTCAAACAGGAACATGATGTCTGTCCATGTTCAGCTTAAAAATCACTTCCTAGCTTCATGTCACTTCATTACCAATTTCTAATTAAGGAAATGGCCATTCTTTGCTCTTCTACTTCATTAGTATATTAAAGTTCCTGCAAATAACATTACGATATGGAAATATGTAACCCGGTGTAGTTTGTCACCCATGTTTTTTCTTATCAAAAGGAAGGAAAGAGAGAGCCTCAGAGAATCACCAGTATCTGAGACATCGCTTTATGAGTATCAGCAATACATTATTGATGTTTTGACACTCATAGCAGGTACCTTATGTTCCAGAAGGGCTTGATGCGATTATATTCACTGCTGATGGTGATATGAGACAGGCCTTGAATAACTTGCAAGCAACAAATAGTGGATTTGGGTTTGTCAACCAAGAAAATGTTTTCAAGGTTACGAGTCTTACACCTTAATTCCTGGTTAGTTTTTATCATCACTATTTGGCCAATAGTATTTTTCTTCTTTGCTTCATTACTTCTTTTGGATGCATATCTAGGTTTGTGACCAGCCCCATCCCTTGCATGTGAAGAGTATGATACGCAATCTTCTCGAGGGAAAATTTGATGATTCATGTGCTGGTCTAAAGCAGCTTTACGACCTGGGTTATTCTCCTACTGATATAATTACAACCCTTTTTCGAGTCATAAAGAACTATGACATGGCAGAATACCTAAAGTTGGAATTCATGAAGGTATGCATTTTATAATCCATATTGTTGATCTCCGCCCGCCCTATCTGCAGCTTCATTCTCATTCTCTCCTCCTTGTTCACAGGAAACTGGATTTGCACATATGAGGATCTGTGATGGAGTTGGTTCATATCTTCAGCTCTGCGGTCTGCTTGCTAAGCTTGCTCTCGTTCGAGATACAGCTAAAGCAGCTTAGAGTTATATGTACATGATATGATAGTTTCCCTTGGAAGACCTGGAGCCACTGTCTGCTTAAGCAGTTTTCAGCTGCAAACTTCCTGGCCATGAATCATGCTTTCACCTGCACTTGGCACCTTTTGTCTTCTGATCATGAATGAAGATATGTGATGATGATAATTATTGCGGAACCTCTTTGGTTCCACCTTCCAATCGAGCAAATTAATGAGAAGACAGACGAACTGTGCACGAAAATCCGATAAATGAAAAAGATCAGCGCGGCTGTTCTTAACATGTAAACGAAGAGGACAAAACGTAAAAGACTATTTACCTTAAAGGGCTCTTCTCTGTGTGCCAAACGGCATATGCTTGGGGGGTAAACCCGGTATTTAGTTGACGATAAAAGCTTAATTTTTTATAATTTTATAAGTAAAAATTTACGTAATTCAAGGATAGATGATGATAATAACAGTAATATGTTTGAATTTTATAATAGGTTTATTCCCTCTATCTTTAGGACACAAAATAGGAAATGCGTTATATTAATTTGTGTTTTCCTCTATATAAAAACAAAATAGAGATAAAAAAAATGCAGTTAAAAACTGCCAAAAATTTTATTATGCTTTTATTTTTCATGTTTGATTTTCTTTTAGATTTTCCTTTCTGTGCCCTTTTTGAAGTCCCAGCCTGACCTAAGATCCGGACAAACTTATAGAATGCATAGGAATCGTCTGCTGTTGCAGGGCTGAACTTTTGCCACTGGGCTCAGCCATACACGCTAACTTGACATCCGTCTAGAGATCCAATAACACTGGGCTAAAGGTTTACCAGGCAGGCTCCTCAAAAGGCCCAGATTTGAGATCCATAAATCTCTCCAGCCAAGGTCCATTCTGAGAGGAGGGAAGGCTCTACTAAATTCTTTCTTGGACGCGGGTGTAGGGTTCAGGCCGTCCCAACTCCCAAGCCCCCAGTCCCCACGTTTAACAAAGTGCAACAGGGAGTTCAGCTGCAGGTTCATCACCATGGTTCTCAAGTATGCTTTCTCATTCTCTATATTCTCTGTGTTTTTTTCCCATGTTAACTTCAAGAGCATTAGATTGTTTATTGCAGTATGATATTTCTTAGCATTTACTCTATGTCAATTTTTTTGACTTTTTTTTTAGCTGATACATAATCTATACGAACACTAAATCTGATTTCGGATAAAAGATTTTTTTTTTAAAAAAAAAAAATGGGGTTGTGATTTTCGTCATTGTATTGGGATGGAGGCCTTTTTAAAGGAAAAAACTCTGAAATGAGATTATTGGTCTCGTCTTATTAAAGTTTATTAAGCTTGAAAGTGTCCATGGCTCCTTTCGAGCTTGAGTTGAATTTTTTGTGTTTTAAGTACCTCAAGATGGCCAAGTAGGCAGCCATGCTGTACGGTTGGGTGGGTTTCTTTTTGCATTTTTTCCTTTCCTGATTTTGTCAAAATGGAGCGCCATGGAAGAAGAATAACGATGTACAAGAATGGTTGGCTTCGAAATTACTGAGAAGTCTGGCTAATAAAAGGTCTGAACTTTTGGGAAGTCTTGCTAATGAAAGTTCTGATTTTGTGACAAAAGTAACATGCAAAGTAGCCCTTTATGCTTGGAATCTTGTTTAGTCCTTAGTTTTCCTGGTTTATGATCTAATACTTGATGAGAGTCTTAAGAGTTCCATTACCATAACCTCAGCCATTAGTTGGATTTGGCGCAACCAAATACATTGGACTAGGCATTGTGAGTCTCCAGTTTGCATGGGCCAAGGAGGTTTGCCGTTATTGTGGAGTTTGAACCTCATCCCAAGCCAATAGTAGTAGTCACTCTGAAGATGTACTTTAAGGGAGGAGATAAAAGGGAGGGGAGAAAATATTATTCAACTGATCCACAATTTTTTTGTGTTATTGCATATGGAACCAAAGGGGCGGCTTCTTAAAGGTGCTCCAGTCTTAACCTCTATTTCCTTGTCCGATATAGCCCTTAGATAGTCCTGTGCACATTGGCCCTTCTTTTATGCAATTTTACCTCTAAATTTTACTCAACAGCGGCTCTTTGGGTTCCCAGGATATTTATGTACTTTTTGCTCTATTAAAACTTATCTGAGTACTTAACTGCTTAATCGTGTTTCATCAGAACTGAACTATGCCGCTTTAGCGGTGCAAAGATCTACCCTGGGAAGGGCATCAGGTTTGTTCGTTCAGATTCTCAGGTAATTTCAGGGCATTTACCAGAATCACTTAAAATGGCATCGTCTGTTTACTATTGCTGAATTTGTTCAATTTCTCATTACTCTTATGTTTTTAAAGGGATGGATTAATTTAGACTTTCTTCTAGCTCCTACTGTGTATTAGACTGAGGAATTTCTTTTCTTATCTTTTTTAGCATTTCTTTTAATTGAAGGTCTTCCTTTTTGCCAACTCAAAATGCAAGAGGTATTTTCACAACCGCTTGAAGCCGTCAAAGCTTACATGGACTGCAATGTACCGGAAACAACACAAGAAGGTAGTTCATGATTCTGGTTGATCCCTTTGCTTTTTATTTATTTGTTTGTATCATGAAGATTGCTTCTCATATATGTGTGCATGCGTGTGAGAGAGAGAGAGAGAGAAGACTTTGCTTCTCCTGAGGAAACATTGCCAGGTAATCTTTTTGTGTCTGAATTATTTGATTTCTTGGCGGACATCTTGTAGGACACTACTACTGAAATCTTGAAGAAAAGGCGCCGAACTACAAAGAAACCTTATTCAAGGTCCATAGTTGGTGCCACATTGGAAGTTATCCAAAAGAAGAGAACTGAGAAGCCAGAAGTCCGAGATGCAGCACGTGAAGCTGCTCTGCGGTACATGCAATATGATTTGTAGATAACTTTGTGCTTGCAGAAGTAGAAGTGACTATAGGATATTCTGTGGGATAAATCATGCATTTGACACGTTGTGACTGTGGAATCTGTGATCAGTGAAATCAAGGAGAGAATCAAGAAAACCAAGGATGAAAAGAAGGCAAAGAAAGCAGAAGTTGCCAAAGCCCAGAAGTCTACAAAGGGTGGCTTGTCTAAGGGCGCTGCACCCAAGGGTCCTAAGCTTGGAGGAGGGGGTGGGAAAAGATGATCTTCTCTCTAGCACATTTGGGTTGGATGTTCGAACAAATTATACTCCGGCAGCTGTACCATTGGTTAATTGACCACATGCATTGGACTTCATGTTTTGAGTGTTTGCACTTGGAAAATTTTAAGTGGATCTTTTTCGAGGAAACCAGTATATCTGCTTCTCTACATTTCTGTTGATTTATGATGAAATATTCACATGTTAGAAATCTGGAAAAATAACATGGCATGTCTGTTAATTTGGTAGGTAGAGTTAATTTGATAACTTGCCTTTGAGTGGGTATAATTGGATTACCTAATGATAAAGTAGCATTCCTGTTGTTATGGATATAGCTCCTATAATTGCTGCAGCGCTGCTGCCCTTTGATCCACTCCCATGTTTTTCTGCTCTTGTTCTTGATAGGATGAAATGGACATTTAGAGCAAGTCGGGTTATTTATGGTTGTAGCATGGGCAACAAGCTGGCTGCGTCGTGCGATTGTGACATTAGCCACTTTTAGGAACCTTAATAAATAAAAAAGTCTGTTTATTGATTATTGGGTTGGGCTTTTGAGTCCCTAGCACGCGTGGATGTTAAGCCCTCAAGGAATCTATCGATAGCTAACCAACGTGAGATACGGCGATCCATCTAAACGCGGGAACTGTCTACAGCTTCCTTGTAGGAAACGGGGCAAATTCGTTTGGATTAGTTATTTTTGAAAGTGTTTTTGAAAATTTTACTGTAGCAGAGTTTTTAGATTATATTTTGAGATATTTAAGAGTAGAAGAGTTTCTAGAATATATTTTAAAATATTTTTAAAAATTTTAAACTAATTTTTAGATTATTTTTTAGAGTACTTTTTAAAAATTTTTATTATATTTGAAAAATTAGTTTTTGAAAAACACTCCCATCCAAACAGACGGGCGGCAACCACCAGCCCACCATAAAAGCCTTTAAGGCTTGGTGGGTCCCACCAATTGCCACATTGTAATGTGGATTTGCTTCAAAAAATCCAGATAGGTGCGTAGTGCACCCGTTTGGTCCGGTAATAGTTCAGTACCCTTCGGGTTATCCCTGGACCTTCTTAGGTCCACTTCCTCCCCTAATGTAGGATAGATTAAAATATACTATAATGGTCGTCTCTGAAAAAAAAAAAAAAATAGGTATGCGGGCAACCAATATGAAAGTGGAAATAAAGGTGACAGTTGGAGGAAGAAATTTATTACTTAGAACTCTTAGTTATGATCCTTGAACTTTTATATTTATATGGGGAAGAAATGATTGAGAATTGAAAGGTGTTAAAAAAAACTATTAATTGAGCCAAGAAACCTTTCCTTGAGATACTTTGATTCTTCTAGAGTATGCATTAGTGAACAAACTGCTTATAATTAATCGGGTTGTTCAACGGGTGTTTATAAAGCACTTGTTAAAATATATTTTAAGTATTATATTTTTAAAAATATAAAATTAATTAAAAATATATAAATATAATAGAGAATAATTATTATTAATTTGTGTGTATATATATATATCTATATATATATATATGATAGATTAAAGAAATGATAGATGCGTTAACGAGAGTACTTTTTAAAGGCACCGTTAGAAAACCCATAATTAATTTAATTGGCATGGAGATCTTTGTTTGAGTCGTCGTGGAAACTGGTACTCGTCTAATCCCACGACTTTGTTGTTGTATGATTATTATTACTATTATTATTATCAACTTTTTTGTCCTTTTCCAATTCTCAATATGCAGTAGTAAGTAGTAATCGGTAGGATAGCTACCGACTTACTATGACTTTCGTTCCACACCAGAAACCGCGTGGACCACTTTCGTCTGGCCAAACATATCAAAATCAACGGGGATGACAACAAAATCCCAGCTCTTGTTTGCGGGCTTCTCTCATCTATGACAAGGATTCCTCAACTGATGTTTGATAATGGAATTTCTCAGATGTGGTCTCTTTGCAGGATGGTCAACGAATTAAGTGCTATTTGACAGAGCTATCTTAATCTTAGAAGTTTAAAGCAGAAGTCCATCATGCTTCTGCTTCTGAATCTGATAACAATATGCAACAATCATTCGGTTGTATGTAGGTTGGACTTAGCTGTCTTGGCTTACAGGGTACCAACCAACTCAGCAAATTCGCAGGCCTGTAAATCTTAGCTTACCTTACATCACAAGCAAGCACATTTTGTACAATCTGAAACCGAGTATAGATTTCCAGCTGCTTTACTGCATATATTGTATGGATGCTTTTTCAAACATGAGATGATTCGGTAAAATGTTTTGAGGAATTCATATGACACTCTCAAGAGAATTGTTTCTAGCTTCAGAAAAAGATCAGCAGATCACATAGCAAAGTGCACATTTGGATTCAAAAAAGTGCCAACTTACTAAAATGACTTTCGAGGAAAGAAGCGACTTGAGCTGCAAAAGTGTTCCCGTGCATAAAAATTGCAGACAAACGTGTTCCCGTGTCTTTAACGAGTGGAAGGGACAATTTGTTCTACTAGAAAGAAAAAAAAAAAAAGGAGATTGGAAGGTCGTCATCCGGCTTCCTTAGCCAATACAAAAGAAAGAATCAAGTATTCACACGAATAAAAATAAAGAAAATTGCCAAATATATAAAAAGTTAAAAATAATTTGCACAGTAATAAAGAAAAATACTTCTATAAAAGTTAACGATCTATAATATAATATATTTGCAGGAAAAAACAAAAAAAAAAAAGGAAAACTATTAAATCTATAAAAGTAAACAATAATTTATCTTTTGGCCATTTGGCTTCCTCAGCCAATCCAACATAAGTTACAGCTCACCTAACATCGATTTAGACTAGCAACTACTAAATTATCCCCACATTCCAAGTTCTGGAACTCCCTTCCCTGTTACTGAATCCTCTTTCTTTCTTTCTTTCTGCCAATTCTTGCATTCAGGTTAATCTCCCACCATCTCAACTTCCAAGCCACTCTACCACTTCTTGCCAAGTTTCCATCACTTTTTATATACATCTCCAGCAATCCCACTTCCCGGAAAGATTAGAAAGGAGCATTCTTGAAAGGGTCTGGCTTCGAACTTGAGTTGAACAGGGGAAAAAGATGATGCGGAACGGAGATCTGGAGAGTAGAGGAGCAGCAAAGGGCAGAACCCACAATAACGTTAGCAGCTATCAACCTTATTATGTGGAGACATCAGAGAGCCAGTGGACTTCATGGCTAGTTCCAATGATAGTGGTGGCTAATGTTGCTATGTTCATTGTCATCATGATTATCAACAATTGTCCCAAGAATAATTATGGGATTAGAGGGCAATGTGTGGCAAAGTTTCTTGGAAGGCTTTCTTTTCAGCCTCTAAACGAAAATCCTCTCTTTGGCCCTTCTTCTAATACGTAACGCCCTTTCCTTGGATCATTTTTTTTTTCCTTGTTTTTCCACTTTAAGTTTAACTCTCTGTCTTTTGGTGGTTTCTAGTGATTTTGTGCATGAGAAAGTAGTTGACTTGGTGGGCTTATGCTTTTGATTTGGGTTTTGAATTTTTTTGGTGGTCTTTTCTTTTCTGGGACTAAAGCAATCGAGTTGGATGAGCTCCTTCTTCTTCATTCCAAGAAAAATTCGAACTTTTTAGGTTTCTTTAAATGACTATGAGCAGATAGGTCTAGTTTTCTTGTCTTGGTTTTGACCCTTTGTTGTAATTTGCCTGTAGTTTATAATAATTCGAATGAAAGTATAACGAAATAAACGAAAAGAAAAAGGTATTTAATTGGAGAATCTTATGCTGACCTTCTCTAGAACTATTGATAGTTGTATTACTGATTTGGTTTGAGGATGTGCATTGTTCGGAACGGTTGGTGACATAAAATCCTGTTTTAAGTCTAGTGGCTACAGCTCACTGAAATATGCTTCACTGATACTGATACTGGTTCATTGATTAACTACATAAGATTTAATAGCATGAGTTTTAGCCTGCCAATGTCAAGAATCTGATGTACAGCTTTGGTAAAAATATCTCTAGAATTTGCTTCCCAGATTCCCTTGGAACTATCGAGGGCTAGGAACTATGCAATGCTTGTGGCTTTTCAGGTTCCTAACGCCTTAGAGTCAGTTGACTGTAATTTTTGTTTCTACGTTTGCTAAGGTTCTGGTAACATGTTCTTCTCCACTTTGTAGCTTTTGGGGTTATTTGTGCTTTTTCGTCAAAAATCACTTTGTAGCTACAGACATACATAGACAATAACTTTTACTCATTTGTACTCATAGGAGATGCAATAACCATGGCACCAAACTTATTGTTTCACATCTCTGATTGAGGCCGGATACAAGTTCTTTCGATAAGGTTGTTTTTTGTCTTAAAAATTGTACTAAACCATTAGGCAGTCCATCAGAGCAACAGGGTATCATCTGATAGAAGCTCTTTCATCTAGCAACTTCAATGTGACAAGTTCAGTTAGGTTCAGGAGTGGATTAGCCTTTTGTTTGATCTCAGAAAAATTAAGGTACTTGATCTCAGAAAAATTAAGGTACTTGATGCTCATTTAAGCCCTTGAGTTCAACTACTAGCCATAGCTGATAACTATCTTGCTCTGGTCTTGAATTATTCAAATAGTGGACTGCGTTGATTTGTAGAATTGCAAAACCATGTTTTGGGGTATCATTCTGATTCCAAAGAGACTCATGATGGGTCTCTTAAATATATTTTATACTTTTTAATCAATTGTCTCAATGAAGCCTACTCTATTCAAACCAAGATAACAATAATAGATGAAGGCAGACGAGATGGAATGACGGGCATACGAGTTAGTGTAGGATTTTTTCCTTGGAGTTTGGTTTGTTGATCGTAGTTTAGGTAGTGGTGTCATGTTTTCCACGTTTTTAAGTTATGTTATAAAAGCATGGCATTTAGATTGGTTTTTGTAATTTTAATCCTTCAAGACAGAGTGTTTGTTTCATACTTTTCCTGATTCTTCAAAACTCTCTTGCTTATAGTAGAGGCATTCTAGTTCTGATATATTTCATTGACTTAAATTCAAAGTCATTTTTTTTATGTAACAGTGCCTGCTGCCTCATATTGTGAATAGCAGAAATTTTTCTTTGCCTCTTTATCAATTTTCTTGTGAATTTGTTGTGGGTTTATGTTTGTTGATTGTTTTGGGCTCCATTAGAGTGGTACCAGAGCTACAGTAGATTGAAGTATGGCAACCCCAAAACCACCTGCAGCACACACTGTAATTAATATGCTAATTTATTGACAATGTCCTGAGTATACTTGATTTAAATATGCCAACCTATATGCTTAGTGCTTTCAGAAAATCTAACTGCTTGTAATAGACCATTATTTGCCACTATCTGGCATACTGGTCCTGCCCATTGGTTCCACCCCCTTGTTTTGGCAACCCCTCTGGAAAAATTGGAAAAAAAAAAAAAAAAGAGAGCGTATCATTGTTCTTGTATTAACTTTTTTGTCGTGTTTCAGACTGGAAAAATTGGGTGCACTGGAGTGGAGCAAGGTAGCACATCAGCGTCAGGCATGGAGACTTATCACTTGTATCTGGCTGCATGCGGGAGTGATTCATTTAATTGCCAACATGTTAAGCTTGGTGTTTATTGGAATTCGGCTTGAGCAACAATTTGGATTTGGTATACTTTTTTCCTATTAAAACACAATCTAAATAGGCTTGGGGATGTTTTTGATGATCTAAACACCTGTCAGAGGAATTAGGAAAAAGTATTATCAGTTCTATTTTGATTGTCAATCAAAACATTATGGCCAATCAAACTGTTCAGGACCTCTTGCTGTGAAAAATTATGTCTAAGGCAGTCTTATGCTCATTATAAGATTTCATTGTGGTTGGTACCACAATTGAGATTATTTTACAAATTCTTCTGCTATTATTTTTAACCTTTGTCAATTATTCACATTTATTCTTACAACATTTTTCAAAAAATGGATTGCACAGTGCGAGTTGGGGCCATCTACCTCCTCTCAGGAATTGGTGGGAGCATACTCTCGTGCCTTTTCATTCAGCGCAGTATCTCTGTAGGAGCTTCTGGTGCTCTTTTTGGTCTTCTTGGTGCAATGCTATCAGAGTTGCTTACTAACTGGACCATTTATAGCAATAAGGTAGAGCAGCATTCTTCTTCTTGATCTGATGACTCCACTAATATTGAAATTCTTGCTGTTATACTGGTCTCTACACTCTTCCTTCTCTATGGGACAAAGGAGATTATGTTTCATGCTGTGCACCCCTTTGTATAACGGTACATGAAGCACAAAGGCCACCTCTGGTCTAAAGTCTAATCATATTAGTAAGATTTAATCAATGAAACTTACTAGCCTTGTTACAAACAGATGCCTTTGTCAAATTTTGGTTGGGAATGTCTATCCTTGTAGTAAATCACGTGATAATCTAATTAAATAGGCAAACTAACTTATCCAATTGGATTTCATTTGTCTCATTCAAGTGATTATGCTGATTGTTTGTGAGAAATTCTGTCGAGCGTTCCTGCATTAAGTATTTCTTTTGTTTCTGTCAGGTTGCAGCTCTTTTTACCCTTGTGGTCATCATCGTCATCAACTTGGCTCTTGGTATACTTCCTCATGTTGACAATTTTGCTCATATTGGAGGTTTCATTTCGGGGTTTCTCCTTGGATTTGTACTATTGTTTCGGCCCCAGTTTGGTTACCTGGAAAGCCGCCAACTTCCACCCGGTGCTCGTCTCAAGTCGAAATATGCAGTTTACCAGTATGTTCTCGTGCTGGTTGCCCTGATTTTACTGATCATTGGGTAAGCTCCTTTTTTACCTGAGGTTGAAGTGATTTCCTGTCAAATGAATCTAGAGCTGCTTTCATTTTCTTGCGTCGGATGTTGAAACTATAAAGCTGTGAATGAACTACCCCAATGAAACATCCTAGAAAAGTTTTTATTGGTCATCTCATTTGTATTATATATGCTTACAGGAAATGGGACATATACTTGTCAGTTTGTGCTTGGACGGCATCCGCCAATAGGGTTTCTTGAGAATAGCGATAGACTTTCCTGCTTTGCCACTGGCTTTCTCCTTTAGAGATTTTAGTTTATTGTGATTGTCCTTAATAGACATGCTATAGGTAGAGCATACATATTTACTTTGTTAACATGCCTTTGTGCATGCTGCAGATTCACGGTAGGATTGGTCATGCTCTTCAGGGGAGAAAATGGGAATGATCATTGCAGCTGGTGCCATTACCTGAGCTGTGTGCCCACATCGAAATGGAGCTGTAACAATTAAGAAGAGTTGGGCAGAGTTCTCTGATTCTGAAAATTCTTTGTTCATAGATTACGGATTTGTTTAATGCTTTATTGCTTATATTCTTGTACAGCAATGTCTTACCTTCAGCTGGAGTTCTGCAGTCCTATGCATATATATATATATATATATTGGGTTTCTGATATGTATTAAACTTACAAGTGATCTATACATGAACACTGGCGTGAAATTTTTCAGTACATGAATTTTATCTTTCCTAGTCTTAATTTGGTAATGTACGTTCTTTGTTGCCTTCTCTTTTGGTTCCCATGGAATCAGTTCTACGAAAAAATTTATCAGCATTTCAGTTTGGGCAGGTCCTGGAATGATCAAAAATTAAGATAGATCAAAAATAAGTCGTTCGTTCAATCTCTATAAAGGTCTGGCAAAAAGGTGTGGCGTAGCCGGGACCAGAAGAAAGGTCTTGCAAAATGATATGGCGTCGCCCGGACTCGAACCGGAGACCTTCAGTGTGTTAGACTGACGTGATAACCAACTACACCACGACACCAGTGTTTGTGGGTGGAGCCTTCAGACATCTTACAAAACGCTGAATTTTATTGTATGCAGGAGCCTGGACTGACTAAGGCCAAATAATGAGAGAGCATTACTTTATTATTTTAAACAAAAACTCGGATAAATTTGGTTTTATATATCATGTAACTCAAATTTTACCGCATCTTTAATTCTTTGGTTGATGAGATGGTGTGACAAAATTTGGATCATATAATATATATAAGTCGGGTCTATTTAAGTGTTTGCTATCAGTTTATCGTATATCGCACGCCTGATACACTTCTTTTGCTCGCGTCATTTTTTTCAAACTATTTTTCATAGTTTCTTTACAATAGTTTATTTGTTTTTTGTTTTTACCAAGATGATTTTGCCATTGGAAATTTTTTTTTTTTTATTTCCAAGTGTGATCAAAATGGAGTGTAGTTCATATGATATGATTGACGGATCGAAAAGAGAGAACATATAAGGTTCGAAAAGAGATTCTTAAAATATTTTAAAAGATTAGGCAAATAGGTGTAATTTTTTTTTTCACTTTTACGTGGCATTTGACTTGAGAGGTTGAATTATTCATAGCTCTCAAATGTCACAAGTCTGTTTTGCTTGCATTCTAAGAATTTTGAAACTCCTTGGAGAATAAAAAAGCCAAATGGGCCCTAAACCGATTTGGAACATCAATTTGCCAAAACGTATGTAAGTTTCAAAGATTCACTCTGGTCCCTGGTCTACTCGCAGTCTGATGTGCTGATGGCAGATAAAAGCTCCATCTCATTATTATATTATTAAAAATACAGATGACGGTGATATCGTCGTCGAGCATACTCCATAACAAAAAGGGCGAAAATGATGGGACGTCCCGAATCTGGATGGATCATTTGATCTTGTCTGCTACAGCAAAATATTCAATGCATTTGGTTGAGGCAACAAAGAGCGTAACAAGACCGCCAACCAGCTTTTCCACCCCGTCAACTCATTCATTTAATCACCATGCCCTTCTGGTTTGGCCTGTCCACGGGAGCCTGGAGCGGTGACCAGACTACACTGGCTTATTGTACCAACAGTTTTTGGCCGTGACATTCATCAGAAGGGAGCAGGGGAAACATAAAAGAACGGAACAGGCCCCGGATTCCTTGAATACCTCGTCCAATCTTTTATGTACTTCTTGACTTAGTCAATCAATCAATCAAAATTAGTTTATCATTTTTCCTGTATAAAAAGGCTATCAGATTCATAAGAGTCATTGAAATAAGACTAGTTTAGATTACATTCTGGCCTTTCATCACAAGTACATCTCCACTAGGCAAATTGATATTAACTCCACCAAGAAAGAGTAGTATCTTTGCTTGGTTGGAGCTATAATCACCATGATCTTTATGTACCAGATCTGACACTCGGTCAATATTTCATAAATTTAAATAAGTTACAAAAGCGACCTAAGCTAGCCTTTTGTCAGCCATTACCTCATACTAGAAAAAGAAAAAAAAAAAAAAAAAAGGAAAGTGGCTAAAGTCAATAAGAGTACTCTAAAATCTATGCCACTGGCCTCCACTGAACCCAATGGCTTCTTCTCTTATGGGCATGCCAAGCCTGTCCAATCGTCCGGACCCTGGATAAGCTTTGCTGGTGAAGCTGGCATGCAATGCAGAAACCCTTTGAGGATTGCTGAATTTTGGTTCACCATAGCCATACATTGAAAACCTCTTAGTTGAGCTTGATCTCTCGTACTGAGGCCTTTGTTTAGGAGCACTTAGGGACCTTATCTTCGCCTTGGAAGATTGAGTGCAGGACATGTAGTTTGGATAGTAGTAGTCAGAGTAGCCACTTAAGCAGCTTCTTGAGCCATCACTTTTGGCTGGGGTAAAGGGTCCTCTCTTTGAACCAGTGCCTTTAGATGAAGCTGAGTGAAGCAGTGGACTATTTGCAGCTGTGCAGAAAGGATCATCCTCGACATCGTGTGAGAACTTCAGAGGGCTCGCGGATTGGACCTCGCAAGAAGATGGACTTGGGACCGTTTGATGAACTGTGGAGTCTTTTGATGTGGTGAAGCTATGACTACATTGGTCCGAGCCAATGCTGAGATGAGAAGAGTGAAAAAGGTTCCTAATTTTGTGCCTGGTTTGAGGCCTCGCAGTATCAATCTCGAGAACCTTGTCATTCGCCTCGTCACCTCTGGAGCCAGTTTTCGCAGATGATCCTTCGTGTTCCCATGACTTGATATCCATTCTGGAGTCCTGATAGCTTGAGATCTTCCAGTTTTTTAAGCTATTTCTCTGGTTCCAGTAGTATGAATGCAAAATTATCATCTTGACAAAGTACGCGTCAATGTATGATAACACTAACAAGATAAAGGAAAAACAGGGAAGTTCCAGCTCGTACCCTGAACAGCAGATTTTCACCAAGTTTCATACTCTTGGCCCGTGATATACATTCAAATTTCTCAGGAGTTGCAGGGCCCTGCACATTGAATTTACTACCAATTAATAATAACAAAATGCGGTACCTCCACGTATTGTTGATCCAGAGTAAATGCAGTATTCCTGGCAGCTAAAATCATCTTTAAACAAGAAACGGTGGGTTTCAGATACAAGAAAGTTTGGACATGGAAATTATTTCTTCCATTAACTCAGGCTCATAAAAGAAGTGCGGATTAGGAACTTAATGTGGATATTAGAGCATTGTAAAAGATCAAGTTTTGGCAGAAAAGTAGTTAAAAACAACCTACTTCTCCTATTGAAATCAAGGACTACTTTTACAACATGCTGCATATACAGAATCAGTGTAAAAAAGCAGGTCTAGAGTGGTGGAGTCGATTAACAGTCAAAAGTAGCAAGTATACGACCTTTGAGAACACTTCTTTTATGTATAAAAATAAAGAAAGAAAACTAGCACCATCGGATGGGAAAAGGAAATTTTGCTTACAGGGTAATGGATGTGATTAGATTTGAGGGGCGATTCAAAGACTTGAGCACGGACCGTACTCGCCCGCGCTTGGACTCGCAACACTGCTCGCATTTGTGCCTGCACTTCTCTTAGTATGTCTGCAGTGTGCTTTCTCACAATATGACCTCGAACTAATGCTTGAAGCTTCACAAGTGCTCTCAGTGCTCGTAAAGCTCTTCTTGACTTCAAATACCCATCCAAGAAAAAGTTGATCAATAATATGTCAGCCAAAGACCATATATTACTAACGCAAATAAACTCTGAAGTGCGACTTCTTGAGATTGACTTGCATCATGATTACTCAACAAGATGAAAGATTAGAAGCTTCACAGGGCAGAGACTTAAAAGCAAAAGTTTGACATTAAAAATAAAAATCGAAGAAGAAGAAGAAGGGAAAAAAAAAAAAAAAAAAGGAAAAAGGACATCTCAGGAGACACCAGTTTCCATGCAAAGAGAAGTGGTCCAAGAAACTGCAGATAGAAAGGACAACAGCATGCATGACAAAGTATTAAGAGGTAAATCCAATCTCCCAACTTTTTATCCCAAAATAATCATCTTAGAGATGGAAGGGATACATCAGAACATTCAAACTATTTCAACTTTTTGGTAGTAGTTTGCAATTCATAACTCTGCAATAACAAGAAGAAGGGACAGTTTTCATGCAGAACTTCACTTTTATGTACCAAGGAACATCAGCAAGTGGCAATAATATTAATTAGTCTGAACTGATTAATATAAGCTGAATCATCTGTGGTGCAGGTCCAAGTCAATTTTTGTTTCCACCCGCCCGATGACTAATGCAACTGATGATATATATATAATTCCTGGGCTCCAAAGTCTCAATCCATCTTGATCTAAATCTTGCTTTTATCACAACAGCTCATTAATTCAACTTGACTTTATAACATCCTCAATTCCCCCTTCCCTCACTAGAAAGTAAAAAAAGGACTGATGGGACTTGTAGAAATTAAAGCAAGTCATCAACCACCACAGCTTAAAAAAACTGCAACTGCAGCACATTTCTGAATTGACCCCAAGTCAATTCAGATTCCAAGTTTTAACCTTCTGTCCATAATCAACAAAAATGCACAAGCAATTTCCATTCCCCAACCTCCCATACTCAGACAAGAGAATGCCCATCTCCACTAAAGGCCATCAGCTGAGACTACTGAAAAACATACAGATGAGCTTCAGATTTTGGGGAATAGTCACTATTACTTGCACAGTAGTGTCTAATGCTGACACAATAAAACGTAACAGTAGTGTCTACCCACAGTATGTAACTGACGTACAAGAAAAAAAAAAAAAAACACGGATCAGAGTAAAAAACAATCTGATTCGAATCTACCTCCCCTGCCCCAAAGGAAATAGGGATGAATAAGCCTTTAACCAACTACATTAATATCGCAAGTACACTTATTGGACCATGCCCAATTCCTCAGGCAAAAATGTACAAATTTGTGACCACCCCGTCCAAACTTATATCCATTAAAAAAAGGAAAAAACAAACAAACAAACAAACTGAATTGTTTTTGGTCCCAGAGTCCACATTCTACTTGTTAAAAAGAAAAAAATTCCACCATAACCCCACCCCCACCAAATCTTATATTTCTATATATTTATATTTAAAAATAAAATAAAATAAAATAAAACCAATCCAACGTAAATGAATTATTTAACACTAATTGACTTTTCGGCACAGAAGAAAACCAATTAGCTATATTTTAGTACTGCTAGAAGGGTATGTATATATATATTGCATAACTCCTAA